AACTGAAAACATGATGGAATGGGAAAACCTTACTCGTCACACCTGTGCTCCTGATATCAACTTCAGCCAGGTTCAACAGATGAAGCATCAAATTTTGGAAGAGGCAGTGAGGGATAATGGGCGCTATGAATCTCCATCAGAACTTGTTGAACGTGTTCAGAACATGTAAGTCCTTGAAAACAAAAAAAAATCTCTCTTCTTGACCCCCAAGATGCACAATATATCTGACAGGACTTTTACTGTCCATACAATGACATGTTTTTGTGCACATCTCAACCTGATCAGGGGCAAATCTGCATCAGACTGATGGACAAAAGAATATTGTCTCTAAATAGGATGATAATTTGTCCATTGCTAGATTCAAATTAGCATCTGCTTGAGATGTGCACAAAAACACATCAATCCATAGACAATAAAAGTCCTTTCAGATTTAGTGTGTGACAAGTGATGGCTCCATCCCAGTGCCTCAGACTTTTCTTCCCATAGAACATAAGAACTATTTGTACCCCTCAGAGGGCATTACAAATCCTCTCTTACACTTGCATTTGTTGGTCACAATGAAAAGTAGTTTTGAACTTTTACAGACTAAATTACAAATTATTTGACAGACAAACCGCTAAAGGATGTATAAATCTAAAATTGACAGATTTTCAGAAGATTTTAATTTTGAAATTTCATATTATATATTGCCTAACATTTTAAAAATGTTGCCTCCAGGTATCCTCCTGAGATTGGAGCACGAGTAACGCTCAATATGATGAGATCTCCAATTCAAAGGGCGAGAGCTGCCATGTACCCTGCCGTACCTCCTGATATTGTCCAGTTGGGACAGCAACTCCAGAACAACCCTCACCTGGCTGCATCTATCGATGGGCGGGACAACTTGTTTGCTGGTACTGTGATCACACCAAGGACTGCATCAGTCATTTTCATGTCAAGGCGGATGAGGCGGGCGTTGGCAAACACTACAAGAATCTTCTGTGATGCTACATTTGCCAGCAGGCCGAATGATCCACAGGCTAGACAGGTCCTTCAATTTTCAAAAGTTGTGAATAGAGCTGTAAGTAAAACAATTATTTTAATTTCCACACTAAACACAACCTCTGACAACCAAGAATAATTACTGAAAAATAATTTTGTTGGTTTGTAGATTATACCTTTGGGTCAGGTCCTGATGACTGGCAAATCTCAGGCTGAGTATACAGCCATACTCCAACATATTAGGCAGCTTGTACCTCAGTTCAACCCCACAGTTGTCATGACGGATTTTGAGGTTGGCCTTCAAAACGCTTGGAAAGCTGTCTTCCCAAATGCCCAAGTTGTTGGCTGCTACTGCCATTTTTGCAGGGTGCGTTCCTTCACTTCTTCCCGTTGAATGTTTGTAACAACCCTGAAAAAAAACAAAACAAGGAAAAATCAAACAAGCACTTCGATGATTAACGTTTCTCTTTCATTAACAGGCTGTTCTAAAAAAGGCCAGGGAATTGGGGCTGGTGCCTTTCATGAATCAACAAAGAAGGCTTAAAAGCCTGATTCGTTCTGTGTGTGCCTTGCCCCTGCTGCCACAGAATCTTATTGGCCGAGGCTTGAACACTCTCATCCAGGAGGCAAGAAGGCGTGGGTACATTCAGCTTCTCGCTCCATTCTTCAACTACCTCATCGACACATGGATGACAAACCCACTGTTCAGCACAATGTGTGTGTTTAACCAGCCTCACAGAACAAACAATGTTTCTGAATCTTGCAACAGGATGCTCAGAGCAAGAACTGGGGCACACAGACCAGGCCTTTGGCACTTTTTAAGTAAGAACTGGCTATATGATGGTCACGCTCAAAGATTTAGTAAACTGAGATAATAATATTGCATACTTACATGTCTTTACTGGTAATCTTTCAGCTGCTGTGCGTCGGCTTGAACAGAGAGCAATGTTGACTCTTCATGCTGCTCGGCGCGGTCAACAACTGAATCGTGCCAGGAAAGTGGCAGCTGTAAACAATGACGCAAGAATTACTAATCTGACAAGACTACTACTTATTGATGGAGAAATAAGCATTCACAGGTTCTTGCATTTGGCATCAACCAGGGTCATGAACGTTTTTGACCATTTCATTGTTTAGCTTATATCCTTGCAATCATTCGCTCGCAACGTACTGCTAATGCTGTAAATATCTAGATTTCCTCCTTTTTAACAGTTAATCGCTGGCAACGTACTGCTAATTATCTGTGTAAATATGATGGTTCCTTCCTTGTAATTATTCGCTGGCAAAATACTGCTAATGTTGTAAATATCTAGATTTCCTCCTTTTTAGCCCGCCCTTCTGCTTTGAAAAAGCTATCCAGCGGGCTTATGCAAACGACCTCGTGTCTGTCTGT